ATGCCAGTATGCATTTGTCAAAACCCACAGAACATCTGACACCAAGAGTGAACCCTAATGTAGACTATGGAATTTGATGGTAATGTTGTGTTAAATGTACTCACTCTGGTGGGAATGCTCTTGGGATAAGGAAGAGGAAGTTAAATTTCAGAACTCTCTGTACTTTCACTTTTGATGAGAACCTAAAGTTGCTTTTAAAAACAAAGTCTATCTTTTTAAAGAATTATTTATTTAACTTTATTTATTTATTTATTTATTTATTTTAATTTGACCAGGGAGGGACAGAGTAATCGAGAGGGGTGGGGAGAAGTGAGAAAACATGCCACCAGATAGGGGACTCGAACCTCATTCAGCCATGTGGGAGTCCAGTGCCCTTTAACTACCACATCACCTGCTGGCCCCACAAAGTCTATTTTTCAAAAATAGTAGAGGTCAGGCCAAGGTGGCAGGCAGACAGATAGTTAGCATCAAAGAGGTGTGGCAGAAGATATCAGGCTTGTCTTGACTAGAACAGTTGTCTCAGCACCAGGGAGGCCAGAAATGTGCAGTAGACACCGGTGAATATGCCTACGGTTGCTATCAAAGACCTTGCAATCGTAGCTTTTTGGTTTTGAGCCATAGACCTAAAGACCTGGCTCCTGGGCATGGCAGGCCAGACAGAGAAGAGCCCCTGTTCGGAAAGAGCAAGAAAACTAACCAGATAATTAAATACACACTCATCCTGACAAAAACAGATATCCAGAGACCAAAGTAGGCCACAAGGCAGGAACTTTGTCTCTGGGTCCAGGCAGATGTGCAACTACTTGAATTCAGGGTCAGAGCAGGCTGAATAGCCCTTGAGGTTCAATGAGATTTTGGGGGTAACGTAATTTACACCTAGTTCCAACAGCTCTAAAAAATAAAAGAAAAAGAAATATGTTGGTTCATGTGACTGAAAAACCCAATGGTAGAGCTGACTTCGGGGTTCTTAGGTGTCCATTAGGCTATTAGGAGTCTGTCTATCCATTCCTGTCACCCTCTTGCTTTCCGGTATGTTTCTGTATTTTCATCCAGGCTGTCTCCACATAGCCATCCCCACTGGCCCCAGACTTATATTACCTTACAGCTAGCAATTCCACTAAGAAGCCTTGTCATCCCCAGTAGTTTTGATAAAATTCCCAGGATTGAATCTTGTTGAATTGATTTAGGTCACACACCCACTCGTGAGCCCATCACTATTGACCAGAGTGATAGAGCACACTTTCTAATCGGGCCTGGATCCCTTGGCCGATCTAGGCATATTACCTGTGAATAACATTTCCTTTATCCAAAGGAAAAATCAAGGTACCATTAACAGAATGGTGGCTCGGATGTAGAAACAACAGAATTCCACTATACCAAGTTACCCACGATTTCTAGGGTTTTAAAGATTCCCTCCTCCCCATCCTCAGCCTGTATCAAGTCAGGGAAAAAGAAAACATTCTAGAGCATCAGGCAAATCATTACAAAGATGGCCTCATTTATAGGGAAGTGCAAACAGTTGAGATTCTGCATAAATACCGAGACTTAATGCTAGTGGACAGCTCTGTCTCAGTGAGAATGATCACATGAATGTATTAGAATGAGAGTGAAGCTATAGAACTTGTGACATCAAATATTCATTTGGGGTAGGATATAAGTGAACCAATAATATACAACAATTCTTTGGACTAAAACCAACTCTAGCATGTTTCATTAAGAAGATTTAATTAGTTAATGTTTATAAAGTACTGCACAGATATGGCCTTTGAAAATGTTAAGTATTCTAAAAACTACATTAAAACAGCATTTTACTAAATGTAAAAGATCTAATGTTCATCTTTTCTTTGGTACAGGTTGGCAAAGATTCTTTTGGCAATGATTATATAGAAAACTTAAAACAGAATGATATTTCTACAGGTAACATTTTTATCGTTTTTAAAGTTCGTGTTTGTGACTTTTTTTCTGTGATCTTGTTATTTTCACAAAAGAGAAAACTGAAGACCAGAGAGGTCCTGTGCTTTTCAGAGCTAGTTAGATCTAGAGCCAGAACTAGAATATAGGACTTTCAATTACAGCCTTAGGCTCTCTGCTGCTGTCAAAGGCTGCCTGACCAGCATCTCTGTTTACCTGCCAGCCCGTGATTATTGATCAGATGCAAAACTTATGAAAATTTTTAAAAATTAAATAAGTTGATTTTATAGGCTTGACCTTGTTTTCTTTGTTAATCTCAAGATGGTCCTTTCTTTCAGTGTGGGGGGAAAGTGTATTGGTCTAGAAAAATGCGTTGTGTACAGCTATAAATAATTTGGGGGAATTGTGAGTGGGGGTGAATTGGTGGGTTGTTACTAATGTAGAGAAAAGGTGTAACTAAATGTAAAGATGTCTGTTTTCCTCATTGTAAAGGTGATGAGTATAAATTAGCGTTAATTACTTATTTTCTTTTTAGTATTCCAGATGGTTAAAGGTTAAAAGTTTTCTCAAGGATTACTAATTCCATTGAAATTGTTAAAATGAATTAGCCATGCCAGGCCGTATGTATGTGATATAATTTTCTTTTTTCTTTTAGAATTTGCATATCAGACTAAAGATGCTGCTACAGGAGCTGCTTCTATAATTGTCAATAATGAAGGTAAGCATTTCACGATGTTTTTTTCAGAAAGATTTTTGCTTTAGGGCACGTGCACTTGGAGAAACAGACATAGAGACAGAAAGCGAGAAATCACTCCCCAGGGAGATGGCCATACCACAATCCTTTCTCCCCCATTCTCTTCCTGAGATCTTCGGCACATACACACGCACCCAGCATGAGTTTTAAGCTGCCGGATCTGGGACTCAAACTGTGGTCGACTATGTGGGAGTCCAGTGACATAACCATTATGCCATCTGTGATTTCAGCATTTCACATTTTGAAGTGTCCTGTCACAGTTCATCTCCAGAACTAGGTCAGAAGCATCACTTTTTTTTTTTTCTTTTTAGAGATTTTTGCTATAAGACACGTGCACTCACTAGAGAGACAGACAGAAAGCAAGCAATCACCCCCTAGGAGAAATGGCCATGCTGCAATCCCTTCTCCTCCATTCTCCTCTTGGAATTTTGGGCATGCATACACTTGTGCCCAGTGTGAGCCTCAAGCTGCTGGGTCCAGGACTCAAACAGTGGTCAACCATGTGGGAGTCCAGCCTCTTAACCACTATGCCATCTGCTGGCCCCAGAAGCATCAATTTTTACTCTAATCCTATGGACCTCTTATCAGACCCACCATTCTAATGCCTAAAATGTGTTTTTTTCTGATCCACATATAAATGCGATTCTCTTTATTTTTATTTCTCACTTCGATCATTCAAATATAAAATTGTCCAGCCAATATACATAAGCATTAGAGTTACCTCAAAATAATATTTATTCCTGAAATATCCCCACTACCCTTAATGTGAGAACTCAGAATTGACACTGTCTGTAAAAGCAGTCATGTATGAATCTGTCATTTCAGTTACATTGGGTATATAAATGTAAATAGGTACAACAGAAAATTTGACGAATCATATTTTTAGAATATTTACTGAGTAAATTACAGCAAACAATTACTTCTAACCTATCTTTATTATTCAATTTTGACTGTTCTTTAAACAGCAATCAAATATCAAAAGTCTATTTGTATAGCTAAGACTACCACAAGGCTTTGTGTAACAGTTGAAACATTTTTCTCTAAAAACTATAACTACCTTCAGGTTAAGTTTTCATCATTTTTGCCAACATAAGTATAAAGTCACCTACATAAGACTAATTTTAAAATCAGAATTAACGTTCAGAAGCACTAAGCAGTATTTGATGCACCTAGGATATTGTGGGCACTCAACGTACATTGTTAAATTAAGGTTTGTCAGCTGGGGCCAGCAGATGGCATAATGGTTACATCGCTGGCCTCCCAAGACTCGACTGCGGTTCGAGTCCCGGACCTGGTGGCTTAAAAACTCACGCCGGGCGCGTGTGCGTGTGTGCCCCAGATCCCGAGAGGAGAATGGAGGAGAAGGGATGGTGACATGGCCATCTCCCCTGGGGGATGATTTCTGGTTTTCTATCTCTCCCTTTGTCACTTGCAAGTGCAAGCGCCCTTTAGCAAAAATCTCTCTTGAAGAAAAAAAAAAAAAAAAAAAGATTTGGCGAGGCCAGCAAGTGGCATGGTAGTTAAGGTACTGGACTCCCACATAGCTGACCATGATTCAAGTCCTAGACCTGGTGGGTTGCTTTCTCACTTTGTCTCTCTCTTTCTCTGGTTAACTTAAATAATAATAAATTAATTACATAAGTAATTCTTTTGAAAAATTGCCACAGTATGTCTTCTATTTGCCATGCAGTTTTAGAAGATAATTTCTCATAAGAAATATGGTATTTTTAACTTGACTTTAGCAATCTCAAAGTTACAATAACAACAAACATATTCTAGGCCTAGTGGGTAAGGTAACCAGATCCCACATGACTGACTGGCTCCCATGGCTTGAATAACATGAATAACATGGTAGGGGTGGTCAGCAGGTGGCATGGTGGTTAAGGGCGCTGGACTCCCACATGACCAACTGCAGTTCAAGTCCCAGGCCTGGCGGCTTGCTTTTTCACTTTATCTCTCTCTCTCTCTCTGTTCCTCTCTGGTCAAATTAAAATAAATAAATAAATGTATGAATAGATAAATAAATAAAGTTAAATAAAATAATAAAGAACAAAAAGAAAATACACAGTGGATGTATGTGTGTGCCTGTGCTTAAAATCTCAACATGATGGGGAAATGGGAGGAGAAGGGACTATGGCAAGACCATGTTCCACTGGGAGAGGTACTTTCTCCCTCTCCCTCTCTGTCTCCCTCTCCTTCCTTTCTCTCTGTTTCTGGTGAGTGCACACACTCTGTGACAAATAAATATGTGTACGCACACATACGCACTATACCTAGCTATCTACACACACGCTCCATTTAAAGACGAGAGAGAAAAGCTTTCATTCTAACAACACAAAATCTGTATTCCTTACTTTAAGCTACATGTTTTATAATTACTGCTGCCAATAGCAGCTCATTCCTTGTCTGAAATTTCTTTTTGTTTTAGGAATGTCTTCTAGTTCTCTTTCTTATCTGTGAAACAAAATCTGCATTTTCCATGCAAAGATTTAATTTACTATTATCTAGAGAGTACCTATTACGGTAGACTCTACCCTCAAGAGCGTAGATTGTAGAAGAAGAACCAAGACCAATACACAGATGGGACAGACAGCCCCTATCAATGAAGGAGTGAGGCTGCAAGATAAAGGAGTTTAGTTTTGACAAGTTCATTAGAGACACAGATGAGCTAGCCACATGGCATGGACCGCCAAACTGCTAAAGTCTGTGGCTTAGAACTCAGCAGCCAAGGCCAGGCCAGAAGTGCAGATTTGGAAGTCAGCAACCCTGAAGCAGTGCGTGACTCCAACAGAGAATGAGGTCACTGAGGCAGAAATGGAAGGAGAGATGCTGTCTTTCAGCAAGTGGGTACTTAGAATTTTTCCAGGACTGAGGTTGGGTTTATGCTGAACCATCTCCACTTTATTAAGTCTTCCTTGTGGCCAGCAGACACATCAATGGTGAGATGATAAGCCAGAATTTGTTCTGCATCGAGAGGTAATTTTAGGTCATGTCTGTACAAGATCAGCATGAGCAGCCTGGAGCACAAAAACTGCCTGCTGCCACTCATTCCACTAGATCAGTGCTGCCCGCTAGAAATAAAATGCAAGCCACGTGCAGAATTCCCCATTGTCCAGGAACCACATTCCTAAAAGGAAGAAGGAACAGGTAAATTGAATTTTGGCAATATGCTTATTTAACACAATCTATAAAAATATAACTTTAATGTAATCAAAATTTTGTTTTAGAATTTAAATTTTTTTTAATAAAGATAGTTTATCTTTTCTTTTCTTTTTTTTTTTTTTTTGGAGAGGTTTTTGCTATAGGGCATGTGTGCTCGCCAGACACACAGGAAGACAGAGAGATAGAAAGCGAGAAATCACCCCCCGGGGGGATGGCCACGCTGCAATCCCTTCTCCTCCATTCTCCTCTTGGGATCTTGGGCACGCACGCACACACATGCGCCCAGCATGAGTTTTAAGCCACCAGGTCCAGGACGCGAACCGAAGTCGACTACATGGGAGTCCAGTGACATAGCCATTATGCTAACTGCTGGTCCCGATAGTTTATCTTTTCTTTGTAGTATCTTTTAAATCTACTGTATGTTTTACGCTTAAAGTACATCTCAATCCAGACTAGCCACATTTTGAGTGTCCAATAGCTACTTGTGTCTTGTGGTAGTGAGTGCCGTATTGAACAGCGTAGCTCTTAAGAGTTCACCTGACCGGCTGGCTCTGTGGCCCGGCAGTTAAGGCTGTGAGATCCCACATGGCAGACCACAGGGTTTAAGTCCCAGGCCGAGCAACTTGAGCAGCACTTGTGCCTGTGTGCCCAAAATCCAGAAAGGAGAAAGAAATGAAGGAAAAGAAATTGCAACGTGACCATTCCCCATAGAGATTACTTTCTTCCCTCCTTCTCTTTCGGTCTGGTGAGTACAAGTGCCCTCTAGCAAAAAAATAAAAAATAAAAAAGAGTTCTGACAGATAAAATACACCACTACTCTGCTCCCATTTTAGAGGGATTGTAGAAAGTGGATCTGAGTCACATCAGATTCCTTTGTCTTCTTTCGTTCTGTTTGATCTGGTATAGTATAGGCCAAATGCCTTTCTCTCTACATTATCTAGTACAGTTTTATCTGTTAGATATCATGGAATGTGTTTTCAATGACTGAATTACCTTTTAGAATACTATAGGTTTTATGCACAAATTGCTTGCATTCTGCAGAATATTAGAATTCTGTTCTTTTGGTTTGGGGTGTTTTTTGGTATTATTTTTATTTAAATTTGCTAGAGGACACATGTACTCACCAGGAAGAAACAGAGAGAGACAGGGAAAGTGAGAAAGCACCCCCTCACACACACCTGGTGGGGGGAAATGACCATGCCACAACCTCTTCTCCATTGTCCTCTCAGGACTTTTGGAAGATGCACACACATCACCCAGCATGTTTCTCAAGCCTTGAAGTCAGCCATTTGGGATCCAGCCACCTTAACCACTGTACTACTGCTTGGTCCAGGGCATTAGTTTTGAGTGATTTACAAGTTTGCTTCTATTTATACTCATCTTTCTGGTATCTGTCATTTAGGATTCAGAATTTTTACCATATACATTGCACTAGCTATTTCCTATAAAACAAAATTGTAAAGATATTATATATCACTTGTCATTTAATATTCCTTTTTAAAGAATTATTTATTATCATTGAGAGAGAGAGAGCGAGCCACCAAGTCCAGGACTCAAACCACAGTCAACCAGGTAGGAGTCCAGTGCTTTTAACCATTACGCCACCTGCCAGCGCCCCATTTAATATTCTTTGCATATAAGAATATTGAGGGGCCAGCAGGTGATGTGGTGATTAAGGCACTGGATTTCCACATGGCCAATCATGGTTTGAGTCCTGGACCTGGTGACTTGCTTTCTCACTCTTCTCCCGCCCCGTTCCCGCTGCGTTAAATTGAATAAAAGTCGTAATAAATAATTAAATAAATAATTCTCTTTTAAAAATACTATTGAAAAGGGCAATTTTTAAAAATATCTTGCTCAAAGTGATGAGAACAATATGAATCTTACAGAAATATTGCAAAAGATACATTTGTATCATAAAATTTAACATGTTCGGGCTAGAAATGTTCAAATTAATACAGTAAATTCTGTATAATGACTTTAAGAGGGTGGTTGTAACCTTGAGAGGATCGTTGTTTGACTTGGCTTAGTTTTAATATAAATATGTAGAATTTCTTTATAGGTCAGAATATCATTGTCATAGTGGCTGGAGCAAATTTACTTTTGAATACTGAAGACCTGAGAAAAGCAGCTCATGTCATCGGCAGAGCCAAAGTATTAGTCTGCCAGCTAGAAATAACTCCAGCAACTTCTTTGGAAGCACTGATAATGGCCCGCAGCAATGGAGGTAATTTTACATATTTGTCATTTCTTCTGTAAAAGCTTTGATCTCTGTCTTCATTAAAGTTAACCTTTCACGTTAAGCAAAGCAATACTTTTTCTGTAGTAAAATAGTCTTTACTCCATCTGTGAGATTCCCTGTCTTCTTGTAGTTCTTGATAATGTTAGAAAAATCTTACAGGGGGCATCAGATGGCACAGCGGTTAAGGAGCTAGACTCCCATATGATTGACTGTGGTTTGAGTCCTGGGCCCGGTGACTTGAAATTCATGCTGGACATGTATACAAGTGTGCCCAAAATCCCAAGAAAACAAACATGCATACAAGTGTGCCCAAAATCCCAAGAAAACAATGGTAGAGAAGGGACAGTGGCATGATCACCCCCCCCTAGGGGGTGATTTCTCTCTTTATCTCTTTCTGTCTCTCTGTCTGTCTCTCTCTCCACCTATACTAAAGCACACCCTATACTAAAACTCTTTCAAAAAAAAAGAATATCTTATAAATAGAATGAAAATAACACAAGTGGTATTTTTGCTATCCCTCAATATGAATCTTTAACCTAGTTAGCAGAAATGGTTTAAGTAGTAATTAGAATCTCTGAAGTAGCCTATTGTGCAGAATATATGCTAGGCAGTAAAGTGGTTTTCATTCTGAGAGCCGTTTAAGTAGTAATTAGAATCTCTGAAGAAGCCTATTGTGCAGAATATATGGTAGGCAGTAAAGTGGTTTTCATTCTGAGAGCCAGAGGCTACACTGCATAAACAATCAGTACCCAGTTACATCTTGATAAACATCCCTAGGAAATGAGGATGAGTTCTTTCTCTTTTTTGCAAAACTTTATCATCTTTTCAATAAACAACAGAAGATTATTTATATGTAATTTTTTTTATGTTGTCAGTGTCCATTAAGTGGCTCTTTTGTTTAGCGTTTGATTTTGGAAATTTTCAAACTGACAGAAGCAGGCAGGATTATATAATGAAAGCTATCACCCAACTTCAGCAGTTTTCAACCCACGGCTCATCCATGCTCCTTATCTCACACCTAGCAAGCAGTAATGTACTTTTTAAAAATCCAAATTCTTTCTATTTCATTCTTTTCACTGTTGACTAGTGAAGAAAGCATCTTCCATGTGAGAATCCCATTTCTATTGCTTATTAGCCTTGTGGTCTCAGCACAGATATCTGATTTTTCTGAATCTTGTCCATAACAGGCACATTGAAATGCCTCCCATAAATTGTTCTAAGAACAAAATAAAATATAATGCAGATATATGTCAGTAAATCCCATTTTTCTTCTCTCTAAACTACTCTCTTTAAATTAAAATTAGAATTATATTTTGATCTATTGTATCATTTGGCAAAAAATAAATCAATAAATAAAAATAAAAAGTAGCCATTCTAAGACAATGGCTTCTTATTGATAATATGGTAGTTCTGTGATTCATATTAAGAAAAAAATAGAACATTAACTTTTCCAGATACAACTTTCTCATCAAGATACAAAATTAGAAAAAGAAAAAAGTGAAGAAAAAGAGCAGTATCTGTGTGTGCACATATGTGTGTTTCTATTAAGTGATTTCTCCCAAAATGTGTAGTGTTCTATATAGTAGTCCATGGAAAATAACTCAACTGAAATGATTTTTGTGGAGAATTTTTAAATGTATGTCCTGATTTAACAAATTTTCCTCTTGGCAAAACAAAATGCCATGGCAAATTCTCCCTGACATTTAATGTCTTTTTAATGGACTCAAAGCTGTCAAAAAGAATTCTAAGCCAAAACCCATTTGGTTACATTTTCTTCCCGAGTGTCACAGATAAAGCCCAGTGCTTATGGTAAGCATTGTCTGCACTGTGCCCATCGCAGTCGGGGATGGGAATGCAGCGTGCCACTCCACTCCTGCTCCTGTCTTTCTTTGTACAGATCAAAACATATTCTCATGTCACTTCTCTTTTTGTTTTTTCCTACTATCCCTTGCTTCTCAGAGATCAATGTTTCCCTGTCCTAGTCTAGTTCCCGGTCACCTCTCCAGCTTGTGGAGGAGAGAAGGGGACAGCAGCCACAGTTGAGGACCTACCCTTTCACAGGTGAGGCTAGAGTAATCAGGATGGACAGACATCCTAACCTTGGGCTGTCATTTGAGTGGGGTCCAGAAATGCTTCCTCCATCACCCACCATGCAGCTCTTCCAGGTGAGGAGCTGGAGGGTGTGGGCATCAGAAAGTAGAATTAGCAGATGCCAGGCCACAGACCGCCCCCACCCCCCAAGCCTACTTCATATTTTTACTAAGAGTCAGCATGCCGAGGTATAATTCTGCATGATCTTTACTACATAATAATGTTGGAAATAGTGATACCTTGTATTTATATGTCCTTTTCAGCTGATACAATACTATCTCTTAACATTTGGTCTTCAGAAAAATCTTACAACAAAGATATGACAGGCAATTGTTCTCTCAGATTGAAGATGGGAAGATAGACCCAGAGAAGTTAAGTAATTTGCTAAAGCAACTTCACAGTTTTAGTGTGTGTGGAAACCAGGACTTCACACTCAAAAACCAAAGAAACTGCCACTCTCTATTGATTTCAAGGAACTGATACTCAGTTTTCTAGAGATAGCATTTATAAAGAATATCTCTGTAAGTCAAATTCATAAATTTTAACACAGTCCAGCATGCAGCATAAGCTCTGAGTGTTTTTGCTGGTCACGAAGTAGAGAGGAGTCCCTAGAGTGTTCTTCAGCACTGTGTCCCCACTTACACCAATACAAGATGCACGTACACACAAACAAGCACTGTGCTCTTTTGTCCACAGCTCTGCTGGTCAGACAGCATTCTCTGGCCAAGTTGGCTGGTCTCTCTTTGGTAGATACCAGCCAGACATAGCTTATGTTCTATAGCATGAGTGGATGAGTGGTGTAACTGTGTGTGTGTGTGTGTGTGTGTGTGTTTAATGTATCTTTGTTCTCATGTTTGAAGAGTGGTATAATGAAAGGAAAACACTAGTTTGGGAGTCATAAAGTATGGCCTTAAATTCAGAATCACTCATGTGGCAAATGGGGGACCTCCATCAGGTAAGTTCCTTGCTCTGGGCCTCAGTTTCATGTGTGAAATAGGAGATTAAACAAAGAGTGAGTGTGAAGTGTGAATGTGTGTGTGTGTGTGTGTGTGTGTGTTTAATGTATCTTTGTTCTCATGTTTGAAGAGTGGTATAATGAAAGGAAAACACTAGTTTGGGAGTCATAAAGTATGGCCTTAAATTCAGAATCACTCATGTGGCAAATGGGGGACCTCCATCAGGTAAGTTCCTTGCTCTGGGCCTCAGTTTCATGTGTGAAATAGGAGAACTGGGCTGAGAGCACTCAGCAGTTCTTAAGTGTCCACGTGGACTGACTTGGTCAGTGGCCTACGGATCTGCCCATTGCTCATGAAGGCTGCATATGTGCTGATCAGCATTATTCAATTATGCATCTTCAAGAAAGATGGTAAAGTCATCATCGTCATCTTCATCTGTGGGTTTTTACAGCTTGCCTATCTTTGCTGCTTACAAGTAGTAAAATTTGAATGAAACACATTGTATAATTTGACTGTGTATCAGTTACTAAGATACAGAGGAAAAGATCTCTCCATCTCGGAATACACTGTCTGTCTCAAAACTCCCTTCATGTCTTTACCAAAATGAATCAAATGATTCTAAAGAGACAGCACCTACATTTAAAAAAAAAAAAATCAGTAACTGTGTACAGCCCCTGTCCTCGCTAGGTCACGATGCCATGAGGTGGGCCCACTCAGAGCACACGCTGTAGCTGCTTCTGATGAAATTATGCCGTTGGTTCTGGTCTTTATATCCATTTCAAAGCAAATGGAACATTACAGGAACAATTAGAAATAATTGAGATTGTAAGATTGCCAAAATTAAATTCTAGGTATGACACAAAGTATCTTTTAATGCCACTTTCGTCCTTTTCCATTTGGCAAATAAAACTTCTTGGCTGGCCACCTAGACTTTGACGATAACATTATCCAGCACATAGCCCAAGCATTGCGTGCTCTTGCTACCCAAGTCACAGAAACAGCCTCTAGAGTTAAGAGACAGTCAAATCAGCATTCTGAGTATCCCAACCTTCTCATGGTCTCTTTGCTCAGAGTGACTGTCTTCCCTGTTTCTCTGAACTAGTATTAGGGCATTCTTAAACATCAGCCCCTGCCCTCTGTGGCGACATTAAAAGCGTCCATCTCACTTCCCTGTCTTGTAGTTTGTACCGCTGCTCCCTCAGCCTTCGCCAGATCTTCATGGACATTATTGACATGAGCTTGAGATAACCCAGGGGTGTGGTCATCTTACGTTGTGATTAATATAGTGCTAATTACTGTGGGTGCTCTCAGTCACCCCAAGCCCCGAGTTACTCCATGACATGCTCTGTGTGCTCTGGTTTTGCCAGGATCTAGGATAATATCTTTCCATCTCGTCTGGTACAAAATCGCATTCTCCTTTGATTAGCTGCATCTACTGATTCTTCATGTTTCTTTCATTATGAGAAAGGATGTATGTTTATTTGTGTAGCCTGGGTCAAAAAGTTTTTCTTTTTCACTTTTTCCAGATTTAGTTACTAGTCAGACCCTAAGCCTATGTATCCAGTTACTATTGGTAAAAATGCTTTACTCAATAAAATATCAGCAAATATGAATGGATTTCTTTCATATTTTTATTTTGTTCTGTATCTTTTAGTGTAGCCTACACCTTTAGAAATTATTTTAAATACTAACTGTGATTTAAAAACAAAAGTTGGGCCAGCTAGTGGCATGGGGATTAAGGGAGCTGGATCCCTTGTAGTTTAAGTCCTGGACCCAGTTTCTAGAAAAACATGTTGAGCACCTGTGCATCCATGGGCAAAATCTCAAGAGGAAAATTGAGAAGAAGGGATTGCAACATGGCCATCACCCCTGTACAGTGCTTTCTTTCTCACTTTCCCTCTCTCTCTCTCTCTCTCTCTCCCTCCGCCCCTCTTCCCA